TTCAAGTTGCCACACTGGAGAGGGGAGAAGCTTGCTTTCTCCCCCCCCTCCCACTTGTTTTGTAATTGGCCTCATTAAGCAAAGGTGTTTACGCTTTTCAAGCGTGAGTGTGCGCTGAGGTTCTCAGCCATTCTCTTCTCTGCATCAAGGGCTCCAACTCCTCAGCCAGTCTTGAATCAAAGAGTTGATTTCTCATATTTGGATTGTCAGCACCGTAAAACTGGATCCTAGATGATCCTTTCTCACCAACGTGTTTAGCCAAAGCACACTGTCGGGCTTATTTTGTCTGTGTGTATATAAGGTTTGTCTATAAATATTACAGTTGAGATGCCAATCCAGATGAGAATGTGGAGAGAATCGATATAGGGTACCATGAACCAAGGACCCAAGATTGAGCCTATAGCTCCAAAAATTGAGGTCTGGGAGAGGAGGACACTGCATGGAATAAGTGTAAGAAAAAGGAAAGGATTTTAAAGTGGAGGGGATGAAATTAAAAGAAAAAAAATGTCAAAAACAGAGAAGAACAGTCAAACCCCTGAAAAGCAGTACTGATGATGAAAACAGGAATTGATTTTGGTTTTGAAACCTATTGATAATGAGTGAAAACGGTTTGTGATTTGGGGCAGAAGTTCTATCCCAGGCAGCAGTGGCTTGCAAGAATAACAGTAGCATCTGAGTCCTCTGCTTTGGACTATAAATTCAAACTACTGCAGCGGTCTGAATTTCACAGGGATTTCTCTGCTGGTGACCCAACAGACTGTGCACGATACCTACCGTCACCCCGGAACTCCCTCCTTCTTGCAGGGAGTGCAGGCTCAGGAGAGTCACGCATGTTGGCAATGAGGTGCAATTATAACTTCCATATGGCATGAAAACAAAGGATGAATGATCACTGAAAATACCAATCCAGCCAGCATCACCCAGCTCGGTCCACAGCAAATGGCCTGTGTACCTATGATTTGGTACTGGAAAGAGAAAAAAAAGTCCTGACTTTCCCTGTCCAGCTGCACTAGAGATCATGAGATCTGTATCAAAAAGGTCACCACACAATTTCTTGTCCCTGGGGCTTGAGACAAGGATACTGCTTTTTTTGTTGGCAGTTTTTACTAATAAATAAAATTAATTTTAAACTAAGTAAATACATAGGTGGCTGGGCAAAGGTGCAGTGTTTGCATCCAAAGTGTAGGTGCCACAGGTCTAGGCCATCTCAAGAGTTTGGCAAGCCTTCTCCGTACAATCTTCTCCCTGAAGAAAAGAGCTTAAACACTTCATAGGCTGGACTTCTCTCTGGACAGGTTGATCAACAGCTATATATAAAACTCTTGACAATAGCAACGTGAAACAACAAGATGTCCTTTAAAAGATTTTTCAAAGAAAAATACACACTAGAAGATGAGACAATGTTTTTCTACATTGTGCTACTCACACACACACACACACACACACACACACACAGAGCATGCTTTCACTACCACTAAGCATGGAAGTTCAGAATTAAGCAAATGAGAAATTGAGGGATAAAAAGTAAGTCTCATGAATCTCAAGTGTTAATGACAGAAAGCAACTGATCTGCACACCACTATTTTTGAAGTCCATACCATTCTGTTTCAAATTTCTAATGAGAGCTATATGGTGGATGCTGGGAATGACCTCTTGTCCTTTTGAAAAAAACAAGATTTAAATTCCATGGTATTGTCGATTCTGGAAATATAAGAGTTCTAAGGCACAGTGCCATCCTTAATAATGTAAGCAGATAGGAAATGAGGAAGGAAAGGAGGACAAGAACAAGTAGTTAAACCTAAATTAACCTGTAATCCCTACCTGCCCAAAGACCAAGTAACTTCCTGGAATCCTGGGAGTTGTAGTTCTATTTTATACCCTAAATTAACCTGTAAACCTCACCTGCCCAAGGACCAGGTAATTTCTTGGGATATTGGGAATTGAAGTTCTTGGAAAATAGCAACAAAGCCTTATAGGAAAGTGTAACATGAAGGGGCCTGTTTGTTTGTGATTTTCTGTCATGCCCGGTACCCCACAACTGATTAGCCCCAAAGAAAATCACACATAGGTCTCCCTAAATTATAAGCTGATTGGCCCATTAGCTCTAGCCTCTCACTGGTTAACTCTCACATCTTGATTAACCCATTTTTTCTGATCTATGTTAGTCATGTGGCTCAGTACCTTTTTTCAGTGAGGCAGATCACATCCTGCTGCTTCGGTGGTCTGGGCAGGAATAGGAGGAATCAACTTCCTCCTTCCTAGAATTCTCCTGTTCTCATTACATCATTTCTACTTCCTGTCTTGTTTTCCCACCTATATTTCCTACCTGGCCAATCAGAGTTTATTTATAACATGACTGACAGAATACAGACAATTCTCCCACACCAGGAAAGTACATGGGCCTATGGTTTTTTTCCATATGAGCCCTGCCATGTGACACCAGGCCACACAAACTGGAAAGTTTCCAGGCGGTAGTCTTGAGTAACTTCTATCTTGGTCAGTATTTAAAATTTCAATAAAAGCTTGCTTAAATCCATCAAAATGGTGGATTTTCTGGCTTTTTCGGGATTAACAGTGGGAACTCCATTCAAGTAATCTTTGCGATAATCTCTGACAGATAACTTGGTTATCAGTAGAAAAGAAAGAAAAATGTCATAGCATAAAAATCCAAATTGTGAGTTACTGTGAGGTTGAGGACATGTTCAATAAAAGCATGGAAACCTAGAGCAGAACAGAATGTTAAGAAAAAATGACTGAGATTAGTTTCCAGCCTCCCACGGTGGAGTGAAGGTAGAGCTACCAAGGCATCTGGAAGAAGGAGAGCAAAAACTCACGTTCGAGAGAAATTTCATCCAGAAACAGCAGAATTGGCACATTGGTTATCCTTCTAAAGGTGATGGCCACGGGGCAAGGGGATCCCTTGTCACAGAAGTGTGGGTTTGTTGTTTTCATACAGGTGAGAATACATATGATACCACAGCCTTACACTGAAAAGTAGTTGCAAACAGATCCTACTAGCAGAACTTTGAACAGAAGACAGAATAAGCATAAATGAAACAAGAAACTATTTGTAAAGTTAAATATAAACGTCTTTCTAAGGTGACTGCAGTATAAACACACACACACACACAAATTGTGAAAGGGCTCTGGTAAAAGAGCGTTTGCTTGGGGGGCTAGGGAGATGGCTCAGAGGTTAAGAGCACTGACTGCTCTTCCAGAGAGGCTGAATTCAATTCCCAGCAACCACATAGTGGCTCGTGGCCATCTATGGTGAGATCTGGTGCCCTCTTCTGGCATGCAAGCATACATGGAAGGAATGTTGTGTACATAATAAATAAATCTTTTTTTTTTTTTTAAAGAGCTTTTGTTTGTCTTTTGAGACAGGGTTTTTCTGTGTAACAGTTCCAGCTGTCTTGGAACTCGCTCTGTAGAGCAGGCTGCCCTTGAACTCACAGAGATCCACTGAGTCTGCTTTCTGAGTACTGGGATTGAAGATATGTGCCACCACAACCTGTTGTGGGACAATGACTATTTATCCTGTCACCTGTATTATTTTTAATAAAATGCTGATTGGCCAGTAGCCAGGCAGGAAGTATAGGCAGGGCGACCAGGCAGGAAGTAGAGGCTGGGCAATGAGAACAGGAGAATTCTGGGAGAATCCTGTCATGATCCAGCTGCAGATGCAGGATTTGGTTCTGCTTTGGGCCAGAATTCTCTCACTCTTCCCCTTTCCCCCCCCTTTTGAAATGGTAATGAATATTCTGTACCATAGTATGTTCAAAGTATATAATTTACCTTTAGATTTTACAGGTCACAATTAAGAAATTGCCTTGCATCTCAGAAGGACTTTGGACTTTGAACTTTTAAGCAGTGTTGAGGCTGCAAAGTTTGTGTTGAGGACTTTTAAGTTGGACTAAATGCATCTTGCCTTATGATATGGCCAAGAGCCCTAAGGGCCAAGAAGTAGAATGTGGAAGTTTGAGTGAGAAATGTCTCCCATAGTCTCAGATTTGGTCCCCAGCTGGCACTGCTGTTTGGGGAGGTTTAGGCGATACAGTATTTTATTGCTGGAGGAAGTACTTCACTGGGAATGTGCTTTGAGAAAAACCCATGGCATTTCCAGCTTGCTCTCTCTGTTTCATGCTCATGGCTGAGATATGAATTCGCAGCTTCTTGCTCCTGCCACTGTGCATGTCACTAGCCATGGTGCCATGCCGTGCCACTTGTCCTTGCCACAGCCGTCATGAGCTCTTAACCACTCTGGAGCTGTACGCTCAAGTAAACACTCTCTCCTATAAGCTGTTTTGCTAGTGGTGTTTTATCCCAGCAACAGAAAGGTGAAGAATACAGAATCAACCCTTCTCATCTTCAGAGATCCTGCCCTACTTTCTGGACAATTCTACTTCCAGTTGGGGCTCATCCCTCCAGGGATTCCCAACCCTTGTCTCATTTCCAACCCTTTCACCTTCATTTAATTTGAAAGGCTCTGGCCATCTGAAAGCAGAATCGATAAAGACAACCAGTCAAATTATTTATGGAAAGGAAAGACAAGCAACTTCAAACTTGCTGCTCCTACAAGATGGGAATTAATTTGAACATGCTCGTATATTGAGTTACACACTGTCAAGATCACAGAAATGACTGGATCATTAAATGTAATTAACACAATTATATCTGGTCTATTGGGAAATAAAGGAAACCCATCTTTCTAGGCTGGACAAGCACCTACGCTTTAACTGTAAGCAGGGTTGCCAGCAGCCACCACCCAATTCCATAGGCACACTTCAGAGAAGATGAATCAAATCTGAATTCTGTCAGCGCTCTGGTTTTTTTTCCTTTGGATTTCACACAGTTTCATTTTGTTTCATGCTGGGGGAAAAATGAGGTTTCTAACTAAAATGATGTGGTATATAAGCAAAGCACACACTCACAAATCAAATAAAGATAATAATACATTTTTGAAAGCAAAATATTTGAATGGCAATGGATACAACATCGGAAACAACTCCATCCAGCAAGTTAGTTAAGCCAGGCTTGCAATTTGGCATCAGAGGATACAGGGATACAATCTTCTGGCAGGCTCCTGCCTGACCTGCTCTGAGGATAGCAGGGATTCAGGCTCCACAGGGTTCCTGGGCTTTTCTGTTTGCTTGTGGGATCTTCAAGTAATAGCCCACAGATAAAATAAGTAATGCATTTATTTATACAATTCCTACCGAGTTTTTTCTTTTCCCTCACTAATCTTCTCTAATGAACAACTCTTTAGAGAAGAGCAAGCTGGCCATCCTGCAGACCCAACCAGAGCGCGTGTTGCAGCCAGAGTAATCGAATCCGGGGATGTGATGGAGAAAGAGGGGCACTGTGCTCAACAGGGTTGATCCAAGTCAGCGATTGCTGGTTAATCAGCAGCTAATCCCACTTCAGCTGCAGGAAGCCTGAAGCTAGGAGGGGAAAAAGAGAAAAACAACCTCTAAGCTTTCTCAGGAACCCAGGAGCCCCCATCCAGAAACAATGACTTTATCTGAGGTGGAAGACTGAGCTCAGCACTCCCATCATCCTCCTGGGCCTGGAGGGCAGTCTGAGGTCCCCAACTCCACCCTCCACCCCCCCCAAATTAGATTTGGGTGTCCCTTGCACTCACCTCATATTGATGTCCAGCTGTCCTAGCTCCAATCTTTCAATAAACAAGACTGTTTCTGAGTGGGCAAGAATGAATTCTAAATCTTACTTTTGTGGTGAAAGCATAAATATTCTTGGGGTGGGGTGGGGAAAGAACGGTCTACATCTAATTTATTTCAGTGTAATGTTCTTACATTGAATGCAGACTTTCAATGTAACTGTTTGGGTTCTCCAGCTTAAGGTCCTATTCCAGGCTCAGGTCTCACTTCTCCCATTCCAAACACCACCCTCAGTGGGCCAAGCAGTGGTCCATAACCTGGAGTTGCCCTCTTCAAACTCTGCCCTTGAGAAAGCATTCCTAAATCCAAAATCATGCCTATAGGCTACATAGCCATGTTTGCCATGTGATTCCTCTCCTGCCCTCCTGAGGGTACCCAGGAGTTGCTTTGTTCTGTTCTTTAAGCCTATATTTAATAATGCTGTTCGTTTGGCTTATTACATTGGCAGTACCTGATTTCTGATAATTTATCAATAACTATTTATGTGGTGTACTTCCTCTACTGAAGTATTGTAGAAATCAGCTACCTGTTGAGCCATTTTATAGTCTCATCTATAGAAGTGCTTCAAATTTATTTTAAATGTGAAAAAATACTAAAATATTAAATTTTTTTAAATTAAAATATAATTATATTATTGTAATGTACAGAATGGGGATTCCTCCCTCTAACCTCTCTCATGTACCCCCCCACCCCCGCCAGCATCCTATTGAATTCATAGCTTCTTTCTTTAGATATACATGCATGGCTGATCCTGCCATGCTGGTTGTCGCTGTGGTTCATAGGCACCACACACACACATACACACACATACACAGACACACACAGACACATACACACACACACACACACACACACACTACCACCTGCTCAATCCCTTTAGTGTTACTTGTAATTATATGATTTTAAGTATCACCATTTGCCATTTGCTGTTGGACAGTCTATTAGGGGATAGTTCCTGAGGACAATTTCTCCTGCCCTCAGCATTCCCTAATTACCTATTGTTGTTTTGTTTTGTTTTTAATGATGGGGTGGAGCTCCAGGAGATTTCCTTCTTCCGGTTTAGTATGTTTATTGGTATTGTACTTCTTTGAGGCTTCTTTGAGGCAGCAATATTGTTGGGGTTTCATGGGTAAAACCCCCCTGCCATTTCTAAGAGCTAAAACCTCACAGCAGACGTCCTGGTCCTCTAACTCTCACAGTCTGCATCTTTATGTTCGCTGAGCTTAAGCCCAGAAGTCGTTTTGTAGATTTATCAGCTGGGGCTGGACACACTATGAGTACTTGTTCTCTGTATTTTGACCAGTGGTTCCTTGTTTTGTTCTGCTTTTTATCACTTGTCTGTTGCAAAGAGAAGGTTCTTCAGTGAGGAGGGCGCTGCCCTTATCTGTGGGCATATACATAAATGTTTGTAGTGTGGTTAAGAATTATGCTGGTTTAGTCAAGTTGCAGTCTTAGGTCTCCTCTAAGATCCACGACTTTACTAGGCCCCGGTGGTTAGCTGGTTTCTCAGAACTAATTAAGGTTTCTCTCCTTGTGAATGGGTCTTGAGCACAAATAGAGAGCTTCTGGTTGCTGTCAGTATAGGAACGCCACTGTTGAACCCATTGGCTGATCCTGCCATGCTGGTTGTCGCTGTGGTTCATAGGCACCACATCTGGTTCCATACCATAGTATAAAGGTAGTCCCCAGGAGGAGGCTTTCGGGTCAGATCCAGCTCAGATCCTCCATGTCTAGTGCCTTCAGGAATAGGGACTGACCTTCAGTCCCTCAGAGAACACCTAGGGCAGCAGCAATGGCCTCCCATGACCAGCAACTTAAAGCGGGATGTCTCTCTCATGCCTCATTTTGTGGGTTTTCTTAAATAGTCTATGGCTTTTGAGGGGTGGGTAGGTGTCATCTGCACAAGTGTGGTATTTCATTGGAAACTGTGTGTGTACACGTGTGTGTGTGAACATGTGTGTGTGCATGTGTGTTTAGAATTATATGCACTGCATATAATTTAGGTAAATAAATAATGTGATTTTCTCTGGCATTTTCAAACCTCCTTAGTTTTACTTATTTTATTTATCCTCCCCCCTGTTCTTCTAAATTGCCCTCCCTCTCCCCACTTCAGCTACCCCCCCAATTTAACCCAGTTCCCCTTAAAAATCACTCATGTTTTTTATTTCCATCTCTAATGTCCTTCATGCTCCCATTTTTTTGTGTTTGTTTGTTTGTTTTTTGAGACAAGGTTTCTCTGTAGCTTTGGAGCCTGTCCTGGAACTAGCTCTTGTAGACCAGGCTGGCCTCGAACTCACAATGATCCGCCTGCCTCTGCCTCCTGAGTGCTGAGATTAAAGGCATGTGCCACCATCGCCCGGCTCATGGTCCCATTTTTTCCACCTTCCTGATTCGTGTGTTTATTTCAGGCTACATATTCATGCCTGAAGACTAGGAACTACCACCACAGGTAAAAGAGGGCATGCGATGTTTGTCTTTTTTAGTCTGGATTGCCTCACTCAATAGGATACAGGAAAGAAAATGTTTTTGAAAGAGGAACAGATACAGAAATAAGAAAATACTGACAGTGCTGTTCCTTGTTTTCAGTGAGAACCAAGTCTTATTATCTCATCCTGGGTTCAATTCCTCGCCATGGAGAATACGGCCCCTGGAGTAGACTATGGCACTAACCTAGCTGAGATCATGTGGGAAAGGCCTTGGGACATGGCTCGCCACTACTAGTTCAGAGATGTTTTCACATGCTGGGGAACACTGATTTCACTCTTGAGTTTCTTCTTCGTGGCATTATGCTTGGTCATTTTAAACATTGCGTTGGACTTTTTAAAGTACCACATGCATAATGCTGGTAAGGATTAAAGAAAATAAAATTCTCATACATTGCTAGTGGGAATGCAAATTACTGCACATATGGAAATCGTATGGCTGTGCCTCACAGACTAGAAATACAGCTTCCACTGCTCGGCATATATCCTAAGAAATGTAGGTCTGGATGCAGAGGAGACATCTGCTCTCATGCTTATTCAAAGTGTTCGGAATCAGGAGCAGTCTAGGTGACATCTGAGGGATGAATGAATAAAGAAAATGTGGCATGCATATGTAATGGATATCATTCTCCCATAAAATTAGTGATTTCTTCCATTTATATCAACACGGATGCGACCGAAGAACATTGTGAAATGATGCGAGTCAGGTGTGTAAAGACAAACACCCCTGTTCTCATTTATGCATGGAAGCTAAACAGTTGATTGCAAGGAGGTGGAAAATCATAGCTGCTGAAGCATGGTTATGAGGGAGGAAGAAAAGAAAAAGAACAGTTAATGGGTACAGGAGTGTGATGCTTAGAAGAAATACCTAATATTGTATGACTTAACACAGGAAGATAATCATCACTGATCAAAGATAAAGCTTTCAAGGGAGCTATTAAGGAGAAATATGAATATTGCCAACACAAAGAAATGATAAATACACAATTACCCTGTCTTATAATTACACATTCATATGCATAGAAATATTCATTTTAAAGTAAATATATATATTTTACAAACAGTGTGTCTAAGGTAACAATTCAAAGAATATAAAAGTATATATTTTAGCAGTCACCCTTTCTAGCTACTTACCATAACAAATGATTAATGTTGACTGTATATTTTGGGTTTTTTTGCATTCATATGTTTATACACACACACACACACACACAGAATACATATCCACATAGCTGATAAGTTCTGGGTGGTCCATCCATCTTATTTTAGTCAGCTCCATATTGTGCAGCAGTTCCCTCCAAGATTAAAATGTGTCATCGTGGAGAGAAGCTGGTTAAGACCCAGGATGCTTACTTACAGTGGGGTGAGACAACAGGAGGCTCTCCTAGGAAGGGGAGCACTCCATCCTGCAGCACCAAAGGAAACAGCTCAAAATCTCTTCAAGACGCCCCTGAAATGGGCCAGGTTTACCAGGCTCCTCCGTTCCCAGCCGCATAGATGCAGAAAGGACTGTTGAAAGACGCACAGAAACAAACAGCTGCCAGGAAGAAACAAAGCTGAGTCAACCTGCCTGGTAGAGGCTCAGGCCAATCGACTCCTAAAAAGGACACTTCCCAATCTGATGGTCTACCTCCAGGCTGTGCAGTGTTCTCCAGGTTTCCAGCTTTCATGATCTGTCAGTCATGTTGGGGTGGAATTTGGTGATACAACTATTTTTGCGACATTTCAGATTTCCAAGTAACCCCTCACCTATACTCCAGTAAGCCGCTCCAACAGAGCGCATTGGGTCACCAAGATGAACTTCGACAGCATCCTTTCTTTGGTCTGTTGCTGGGTCTCTGTCTCAGGTAAGAAGACATTTGTTCTCATTTCCCCAGTAAGATCATCACAGAACACTCCAGAATGCGGATGTTGATATAGAGAAGTTTTTAGCTCAACTTACCACCAGCTGCCTACGTCTGGCCAAACCTTTTCTGGTCTTCTCCCGGTGCTAATGGACATTTTCATTGCAGTCTGTGCGCACATGCCAAGCACCAAGTAATAAGATAATGATGAATAAAGGTGCAGACTAAATCCTCCGATTATGAGGGCTCTGGCCTTGTAACAGTATGGCAATATGAATGCTATATGAGTAGAGCCAAATATTTGCATGATCGCATCAGCACATCGTAGTAATCTCTTTCACTCCTTACAGTTGGGCCACATTCATGGTGATGGAAATTAGGGCTTGATTTTCACAGGACCGAAGATGTTATACAGATAACCGACACGAAAGGCAAGGGCCAGTGTCATGAAAACAGAAAATAGCTATCATAAGCAGGTGTGTCATGTTTCCTTGAACATTGCTTATGCATTTTCAGGAGATGATATAAATTACAAAAGAATGACTATTTCTTAAGGAAGTAAAAAGATAATGATTTGTGCTAAATCAAAGGGTAATTAAAATAACCAAAATAAAATGTGATAAAATGATTGACATTAGTAACAAAAGGAGAGGGATATAATAATTAATATACTTGCTGCCTTGCCTGGTAGACGGCTTCCTTCATGTGGGTCAACACTTACTGAAGAACTGCTGCAATATGTCTGTCTTTCCAGACTACACCCAGATCAGCTTGGGTAGTGTTTGTGAACGCCCGAGAACTGGCTGTACCCTCCTACAGACAAGGATCTGATGGGGTCAACAGGTACCTTCCAAAGTATCGATCAGTCAAGAGATCCAATGTCCTTCTTGTTGGCACAGTCCCCCAGCATAGGTCCCTGAGTCTGAATGTAAATTCAGCAGCTTTCAATGCCAGTGGCACTCTCCTCTCCCAGCCTAGCTCTTCAACTCTCCAAAGCCCAACAATATGGAGTTTTAGCTCTGTTCTATGCCTTCTGGCTGAATCTACGGAGAAAGCTGAAACACAAAGTTCCCTATACAGAAGCTGGGCCTGGCGGTATAGGCCCTATAGCCCAGCTCCTCTAGAGGCCATGGAAGGGGGGTTGAAAGTGAGAGTACTTCCTGGACTGAAAAATGACCTTACGCCAGCCTAGACTCTCAAATGAGATCGTGTCTCTGAATTAAAAGTAAAAAGACAAATACATTTCTCTACCGTGTATGAGGCCCTAGATTCAAGCCCCATTAGCGAAAAAATAAAATTCAATGTGCAATAGTTAGACAACACCCCCCCTCCCAGGCCCACTTCCTTTGCTGGCAGTACAATAAGAGGCCATAGACAAGTCCCTGTGTCTGATAATTTTTGAATATCAACCTCAAGAGGCAAATAACTCACTACCAATTTTGTAAGAACTTGCTTGTGTATAATAGAGCTCCTTCAGAAGACATGATATGGCAAAGTATGACATCTGAGAGTTTCGAAACACATTCCAAAAAAAATTAAAAGCTGCTTTTCTAATATTCAAGATAAAAGATGATTTCCTGCTAGTGGTTTAAATAAACAAAGAGCTGGAAATCGGCGTCGTTGAACGTGAGCCCGTGTTATATCACCAGGCGGGCTAAATGTTTACCTGTGTTCCTTGGCTAGCAGCTAAAATCATTTGTGTGCTCAAGGTCGCCTCCCTGTCAGCTGCTTACAGAAGGGATGGCTGTGCAGGGAGGAAAGAGCATTTCAACCTAGAAACTCAGGATGGATGGAGGGCGTGGTGAGGAAGAAGAGCAGTGTTGGTGTTTATGGACCGGATTGCCATGAGACAAGTTACAAATAAGACCACCTCCAAAAATGATGGAGGTAAAAAAGATGACTAAAATCTAAAATGTCGTGGACAAAAAGAAGGTCTGAAAGGAGCCCAGGTTCCCGACCTCAGCCTGAGAGGCAGGAACTACTGACTCTGGCTGTCTGCCCTTAAGAATGAAAATTGAGTATTGCTAGTAACTCTTGTTAATAAAAAAAAAATCAGAATTTTTCTATGAAATTTTCCTATTTTTCAATTTAGTAAATCATTCTTGTTTAAGATCAATGTACCTTAAAAATAACACATGTGTGACCTACAACCTCCCAGTGGACCATTTTGTGGCTACCGTGAGAAAGGGATTTCTTTTTCCCATGATCCTTTTCTTCAGGTCAAAACGAATAGATTTTTTTGTTTAATAAAAAATGGACACAATCAAATTCTCTCTGTATTAGAGAAAAGGGAACAGCAGCTCACAGACACTCCTGACTTCTAAGGGTCACTCAACTGCTACAGTAGCAGACTGTCTTTTCATCACGGGCATTTCTGCCTCTGGAGGGAGGTCATGGACTTCTACAGGTTTCCATGGCTCTCTCTGCTGGGGTTTGAAGAGGTGATAGTTACAAAGCTTTAGATACAGAAGCAGAGCAAATGACTCTAAAGCTGGCTCTGCAGCCTCCTGCAGGCAAATGACTTTAGCCAAGTCTTTGAAACTTCAAGTCTTCATTGTAACACACAGAACCTGAAGAATCCAAGCAGGTGCTTGAAAATGATGCGTATCTCAGGGATTCAGAATTTCTGGTATTATCTCCTGTGATAGGATCTTCATTTCCAGCCACTGGTGATGTGGGATTTCCCTCTGGATGTTGTGTTTACCATTTATAAATAAAGAAACTGCTTTGGCCTATAGCAGAGCTGTAGGGGAACAGAGCTAGGTGAGGAAAACTAAGCTGAATGCTGGGAGAGGGAGTGCGGAGTAAGAGAGAAGCCATGTAACCACACCAGAGACAGACCCCGGAACTTTAGCTGGTAATCCACAGCTACGTGGTGATACACAGATTAGTAGAAATGGGTTAAATTAATATATAAGAGTTAGCCAATAAGAAGCTAGAGCTAATGGGCCAAGTGGTGATTTAATTAATACAGTTTCTGTGAGATTATTTCGGGAGTCTGGGCTGCTGGGAACAAACAAGTAGCCTCCCTACAACACATTGAGGGTTGAAATGATGCAACACATACACACACACGTGCACACAAAGTTTGTTGTTGTTGTTATTTCTAAGATAGCAACTCACTGTCTAGCTCACACTGGCTTCAAACTCTCCCTTAGGGTCCTGCTATGGCTACCTCCCAAACACTGGGATTACAAAGGTATATTATCACTTTCACAGTTCTTGACAAAATTTTAAAATTTCTTATTTTATTTATTTTTAATTAATTAATTACAACAATATCACTATAATTTTTCTGATGAAAAGTCTCCCATCTTCCTCCCTTATCCTTCAGGTACCTAGTTACAGACACAGTTTTAAGTACTTGCTTCGTGCTAGGCAATGAAGAAATAAGAGCCGTCAAGAATTATCCTGTCAGAAGAGAAATGACATCATCCACAGACATATTGAAGAACGAAGCTACAGAAAACATCTGTGTTGATTTATCTTCCCCATAACGCACAGCTCGAAACATAAACTGATAAAGATTTACATCCTCACATTAATCCAATTAATTTAAACAGAATAGGAAGCTAACATGTGGATTTTGATTCAGTGACATTACTGGATTTTTATCTTGTGGTGTAAATTTATGCTACTATTCATGAAACAGAGCAAATCTTATTTAGCGAAATGTCTGCTTTTAAACTGGGAACCGTGCGGAGCTCTCCAAATCTCATCAGCACAAAAGCCAGAAAGGTTAATCCTGATTTAGCCGCCTAGACATTTAAAGCTGATCAGCTGCTTCTGGCCTTTTGTTCCTCTCCACCTGCACAGCTGCTCGGGGTCTCCAAGAACTCTGCTCTAATGTGCTGAGTCTCAGGAGGGCCCCAGGCTGGTGACACACAGGGACATAGAATGTTCTGTCTCCATCCCTGCTGTGCACACAGTGGCACTGCCCGAGGTCAGGTATAGTGTTCAGAAGCTCGTGAAAGAACAGCACCCATCTGCTGCAGCTTTGTATTAAGCACAGTGTGGACTTTTGTTAAGAGCAAAAAGAAAAAAAAAAAAAACACTAATCAGAGCCCTGCTTGATTGGGGCTCAGTGATTGGGGCTGGGACACCTGCAAAATGAGACTGTCCAGCAGCCACGGTGCTTCCGGTGTTAATACAAAACAAGCCCAGAGCAGTGGAGGCAAGAGACTGATTGCCATGGAGCATTCTACAGCTCAGTGGACCGTCAACAAAGCAAAAGTGGAAAATCATTTTCTCCAGCACACTCATTTTGACGAATCCAAACAAAGCTGAGGGCTTGGGGGAAATGGCTCATTCAATGAAGTGATTGTCCTGCAAGCATGAGGCCATGAGTTCAATTCCCAGAACCCAGGTTTTTAAAAAGGCAGATATGACACCATGTGCTTGTAATCTGAGTCCATGAGACTCAGCGGCCAGCCAGCCTAGACTAGCCTAGTCGGGATTCTGGCCGATGAGAGACCTTGTCTCAAAAGAGAGGGGTGAGGGGAAAATGCCTGAGAAATAACACTTAAGGCTGACCTTTTCCCCCCAGATACACACACCCATGCACCTGCACAAACATGCACACATACCCTCACACCATGAATACATACACAAAAATAAAAGAGTTAATTAAAGTGGGTACTGAACTGGGGGGGGTGGAGAGGGGTGATGGACAGTCTCCAGTGTCTTCACAGAGAAAGAAAGACCTCCTATAGCTTATCCTTCTCCTTTGTTCATCCCATTTCTCTCTTCCTTACATCCCCTTGGCTCCCATCCAGCTTTCCGCTTGCTTCATGTTCGTGGGTCAATCACGCGTGTCCTCTGCCTCAGTTTTCATGACGTGTAAAAGGGAACAGCAACAACACAGAACTCACAAAAGTATTGACGATATTAATTCAAAACTTATGGTGTTCAAGCAATGAGGGTCACTAGAGACCGTGGCCAGTTGGGTCTTCTTTAGGGCGGGAAGCTCCTCATTCAGAATTGGCAAAGAATCAAAGTCCTAGAGAAGTTTTCCAAGAGCAATAAGGCTAATGGTAGCTTATACGCTTGTAGGGAAAGACTTGAACTCAAAGATTTGGACATGAAATCTGAGCAGGTGATTAAAAACCAGGAGAAACGAAAGAGCCCTCAGGGGTGTCCAGTCTGTGGGGGGAAAGTGGGAAATATACTGAGGAAGAGCTCCGAAAATCCTGACTGAAGACTTGGTGGGTGTGAAGTGTAAAAACCCTGACAGAAGCTGGCTTCTAAGAATGGGGGCTATACTGACAAGGGGGAAAGCAAGAGAGGTGGAGATGGCAGAGGCTCTCCAGAAACTGGTGAGGAATCTAAACAGCACCATGGTAACCGCTGTGGTGTACTTTCTCTGTGGCTTCTGTTTCATTACCATAAAATGAAGACAATTGCACCTACCTCACAATGTGGCTCGGAAGACTAAAGGAGATGATGTACAAACCAGGTGGCCTAGTGACCAGGGGGCTCACCCTATGGTCTCTTCATTCTCCTATT